TGCTTTCGTTTTCGGATGAATCTGTCGCTTTATCCAGTGAGGCACCCTCATCTGAAAACATTCTCATCACAATAACCGAACTTAAAAAACGGCGTTTAAAAACCTACTAACAAAGAATTTACAACAACCTATTTTCTCAATCTTTGTGTCGATTCCCGAATCATTAAAATCCGATGACGGTGGACGTTTCAGTGAAGATGAGGCAATTGTCGACATTACTGCACCGGTAGCTTTTAAATCGTCATCCTCACTGTTACAAAGGTTTGCTAAGTGTTCCGGCACCCTGAAACATCGGTAAAACGTGCAATTAAAACCAACCGAACTTAAACTAAACGAATTGAAGAATTAAAAATAAGCACAGAAATAACAAAAGAACAATGCAAGGAAGGTAAAATGTAGTGCAACAATGGTATATTATATTGGTAGCTTCCCCTACACTTACTTAATCATCATGTGTCGAACCGACCGCCATGGATCGAGAACAGCCTGGGGTGTCGACTGTGACGTCAAAGCTTGAGAATCCTCTACAGTGACAAATATTGGAGAACGACCCTCGGCTTCGATCTGTCGCATTGTCTCGATAACAGGGAACGTCAGACTAGAGCGCTCAACAATCGTACGCACATTTCCAGCTATCTTTTCAAGCAGTGACTGTGAAACCCTTCTGTAAACATATTCCTAAGCAAGAGTAAGTGGAAGAAACAAGCATCTCGAGAACCTTTTTCGATCAAGAATCTCCATTAACCGATCAAATCCTGTAGGCTTCGGACTGTTGTCCAGGTCACATCGATCTCCAATACGTTTTAGCTTCTCATAATACTGTTCTTTCAAACTTTCGACCTAAAATATTCAGAAACGTAATGCTGAAAAGTTTAGAAAAACCTGCCTAATATCAACGCTCTACAACAACACTTCGGTATTAATAAAAAGGATGTGAGTGAATGGAGGCCGAATATGAAAAACAGTTGAAATAATGACTTACTAAATCATTATACTCCTTCGTGTTTTCTTCTTGGCTAGAAACAGATGCTGGTTGTTGGCTACCCGGTCCTACACTACCCGGTTGTACAGAAGAGGGATTCTCTATAAAATATTTCTTACTGTGAAATTCAAAAACGTACTAACACCTATAAATGACAATTCCACGATTACTAGAGTATTTCAGTTCAGAATTTGATAGAGTTATAGACAATTTGCTCTATTGTATTAACCATGTGTATGAAGGCCCTTATAGCATAGTGGTAACAGGCGCCCTGCAACACACACCTACTCGTTGGTTCGATCCCGCGCCCGCGCTCACGATGCCCTCGATCCCTCCGAGGTCGGCGAACTACTACCAGACTTATCTGTAATGACAGCAGCACTGAAGTGATTCATCGGTTTGCTAACGCAAGCCACTGTATATGCTAGATATGAATTCAACTACCTATACCGATGCTTACTGAAGTCGAATTCATGGTGCGTCCCCAAGAATCAATCAACACCAACAATTTTGTCCTCAGTATATTAACCACATGTGTAACCTTTATATAATGCACCTCCAAATCCAAATACGTTTACAATCGAAGCTTCGAGAAAACTGGTAACGAAATTTGCGTTCCTAAAATTCCCAAAGAAAGAATGGGCAACTACAAACATAATACTGGACAAAATTCCGCTGGTCTATTTGATGTTGTGCTCGAAATTCGAGCGTTCAGGGTATAAAGTGGAAAAGGTATATAACATGGGCTCCAGAAAATCAGAATTTAACGCTGCTAGAATAAGAGAAACTTTATCATAAAGGAAAGCATTTGTAGACCTAACAGTTTTTTACTGCAACTAATAAATGTGATTTCAAGCTAAAACAAGTTAGTTTAAAGTTGAAAACGGCATTGTCTTCGAGTGGTATGACTCCCACAGAGATCATGTCGATGGGAACTACTTTGCAAAAAGCGATGTATGACAGCATAGCACTGTTTTTGCTCTAGTCCTTTAATGAAGAGGTGTAGAAAATACTGCATTTCCCACACAGGAAATGGAACCAAAAGGTGCTTCAAAACGGAGATGAATAAAAAACAAAGTGCTAATTGACTTCGACATTGGTCCAGAACAAACAAAACTTCTGCAAGCTTTCTGTTCCTATTCGGAATACAAACGACAAGTTAAAATAATTAAAACATTTAACGTACGTGGAGTTGATGGCTGAATGCAAGTTACGGGAGAATTTGACATTCCTCCTGAACTCGGACCAACACTTGTCATATGTGGGGAACCAGCGGTCACTTGATGTCCTCCAGCAAACGTGGAGTGGACGACCTTAACAAAGTTATTAGTGCCGGGTTCTCGAAATCAAAACCACTGAACGATGCAAATTGGTAGAATTTTGTGAAAAGCTTTGAGTTTTGAAACAGTAGCCTCAGCGCAAAATTAGTGTTACGTTATCAACGAGTCTACGAACAGAGTAGACAAAAATGGTTCGATGTATCGGAGACAAACTTTCAAGGCTAGTTTAGGATTTCACCTGTGGACTCGCTCCAGATGCGAGTGAAACTGATGACTGCGAATTCACTGAGGTAGAACTCATTTGTTGTGCTGCTGTGCTCTGACCACTAGCCATGTGACCAGACATTCGCCTAATTGCATAACGAAGTTGTCATTTGGCTCGCAAATTTTCAAAAAACGTCATTCCACTTACATCTGTTGCTGAGACACAGAACTAGTCGAAGTGGATGCCGTAATGTTAGAGGTATTCGATAGTTGATTGGTAGATGAAGACAAGATTGATCCTGGTTGCTGCTGTTGAGAATAAAGACCAGGTCCAGAAGGCCGTTGACTAGGTGGGCCTATTATCATCCCGGTTTGCCCTAGAAAAAAAAGAGATCAGAAAAGCCAAAGTGTACTCGTAGAGCGAAGGCACTGGCTTGCAATCTGTGTTGGTATTGTGAATATGTTTAGAAGAAAGCCATTTCAAAAGGAGTGTTCCACGTTTTATTGCTACGGATGGTGAAACAGTTATTCAGATCGGTACTGCTTGAATATTCATTTCCATGAGCGGTTCTAATTTACGACACTAGCAACTGATAACGTGGTACTAAAAAAGACCCTTCAGAAAGCTTAAAATTGAACTGAATTTCATATGAAACACTACAATACTGCTTTGCCACGAAATAACTGCTTACAGTAAAAATATACAAACCCATCATTTGTTGGTGAATCATAGCACTCTGCCCGTTTGACACTAGTTTTGATTGCTGTTGCTGCTGCATCGTGTTGAACTGAAGCGCAAACTTCGTTTTAATTTTTGACAAAAAACAAACTAAAAATTGGTTCGAAATGACGATGCGTATTAAAACATAAAAAGGAGCATACCCTTCGCACATACGTGGAAAACAGCTGCTTTTTACGTTCCTGACTTTGCTCAACATGTATTTCTTGCTGCCAATGCGGTGGAAACCGCGACATACTGAAATGATGGAACGAAAGACAAATGACTGAAGAATAATGCAAGTAACTGTAAGCTGTGATGAGGAATCAAAGGAAAACCTACTAGTACTGGAACTGTTGTTGCTGCTGTTGCTGTTGCTGCTGCAAAATTTGTGCCTGCTGTATTTGTGAAGGATGACCATACATCGGTTGCCCAGGTACTAAAACGTGATTTAAGAGGGCAGAAAACAAGAGAAATTTCTGCGCACAGTAAAGATCCCGTTTACCTTGAGAACCGATCAATGCTGGAGGTGGTGGGTACATCGGCCTCATTCCAGGAGCAGGTTGTCCAGGCTGGCTCATAACCTTTAAATAATTTCTCTTCTCATTTATCGTTACTATTCAAAACAATTAACCAGTTATTCTGGACACTGATCTCAAGTGCTTGTAAAATAAACCGATTAAAAGTTATATGATTAGAAACTGATCGAGAAAAACTAAACGATCTACAAAAGAAAATCAAACAGCCACACTGAACCAACTTACGTGCGGATTGCCCTACAACTTATAGTTTAATGCAACTGTTTTGTAACCTTGATCATAAATGAAAATTGATGCCTTTTATGCACTCTACTATGAAGTGATTATAGAATAACATTTAACATAAGAAACGATCGGAAGGAGAACTAACAAACATCATCAGAGAAATTACTACTACGTATCTGTTATGGTTCAACGATAGAGAAAACAATGAGACAAGAACACAACATATATGGGTTATTAAACGCGTTTAGTAACATTTTCAATGACTGAACTCATAGAACAAACGGTAAAGAAGATAAACATAGCCAGAGATCCATACACGTACCATACGCTGCTGTTGCATCATCTGCGCCTGCTGCTGAGTAGGAATCTGCGGCATTCCAGCAGAAGGCTGCTGCACATACTGATTCGTGTAGTTCATCGTCCTTTGGCTTCAATCCAAATAACAATGAGTACCCGTAGATACGATGGATATGAAAGATGAAAGACGATGCGTTTTTTGCCCAATCGTCTTGCAGTCCCAGTGGTCAACGACAATACGCGATGCAATGAACCAAGACAAAAAAGTGGGCGTGAATGATTCTTTGGCAAAACCCCTGCAAAATCAGATGATTCGCTAAAACACGGCGAAGAAATAATAAACAATATTGTTCATATTATACACAAAGCATGTACAAAGGTTGCAAACCTCATATTTAGGAACAAGAACTGATATAGAAAGACGTTTTATAAACAACAACAACGTAGTCAAATTTCGAAAACAGAAAGCGGCTTATTCACCGCGCATTACATGTACTTTATATCACTACAGTTCACTAGGACGGTGAAAAGGTACCAAAAACATGAAATAGTAGGGTCAGAAAAAGTATGAGATGAAAAGGGTAATTAACATAATTACTGGTGAATCTGCAAAAAAAAAAAAACAGGGAGGTTACAAACCGAGAACCTTTACATCTCAAAGTATGTACTTAGAGCTACTTTGAAATAGACGTTCCGACTTGACTTTCTTCTTCTTGACTGTCTTCTCCGTGATCTCCTAAACATGGGACGGATCTCTAAACTACACCCAACTTGGAAATTAACAACTACAGAAAACTTACGCTTCGAACAGTTTCTTGCAATTTAGTAAAGAAGTTGCTACTCTTCAGCTTATCAGTAGCATTGACTTCGTCTTCACTCAATCCTTTTCTCTTCTTCATTTTCTTTCGGTTTTCCAAAACCTCCTTCCCAAACATCTCTACCATTGCTCTGAACACCGAGAATTTATAAACCAAGGTTTAACCCTAACCATGATTTACGTCTAAGACCGCTATCGTTATCAACAACGAGTCTCATGAATGTAAATTAGCGCACGTATCATATCCGAGTGGTTTCACAATGAGAATAGTAGTCATTAACGAGGGTCTTGCAAAAAGTGTACCTCTGACGATTCTTCTTCTTTCTGCGCTGCCGCAATTTATCAGTACGATCAAATTCATCTTTCGATTTTAGGTTGCCCTTTTGAGGTTTCTTCATCTCCTCGGGGGCTAGAAGTTGTTCATCTGTTGATGCAACCATACCCACTTCTTCCACTCTCAACGCTGGCATATTTGAAACCACACGAATTTCCGGTCGGACCTGAAAATTCGCACTTGAAGATGGTAAACTGAAGATGGATCAAGGTGGGGAAAAAAGTCACGTAAACTTAAATAAGCGACACTAGTCCATATAAACACGTAAAAAAAAACACGAAATAGAACACCGAACAGGATTAATTACTTCCGGAGGTGTATAATCAAAGTTTGACAAGGCGTCGATAAGACGAAACAGTTCTCGCATCTGTTTCTCAACGGCTGCATGTTGTTCGTTTACGGTATCCGGGGTTTTCACGTCCTAAAAACGGTAGCAAAACAATTTCGTTATAATCCATAATGAAGGATGAAACCAAATCGTAAACAGTTTACTAAAAGTAGCCTACCCCAGCAGTTTTCTGGTATTCCTTCTCGTATATTTCGGCAAGAGAGGTCCTAAGCATCTCTTGTTCTTCAATCGCCTGATTTCTATAAATTTCTGTTCGCTCTTCAACTCGCTTCTTTCGGATAACATCATCAAACGCCTCAAAACGATCATTAGAAACTTCAAGTAAAAGCCCAAGTTACAGCCCTCTTTAAAACTACCTTGTCCTTTATGCGCTGCCGAATCAATTCCTCTAGCTTCTCCGTGAACAGCTCCGTTATCTCGGGAGCTTAAGAAGAAATAGGTTACAAAGGTCGAAATGCCGATTTCATTGAAGGAATAAGCATAAAGTCAAAAACATAGGAAAGAGAAAAGGTTAACAAACCTTTCCTAGTTCCATGATCGAACTGAACATCTTTCTCTAGCAACTCGTTTTCGGCCCTCTGCTGGGCGTTTACCTCCCCACTCAGTTCCCACGATCGCGGTGCTAGATTCTCTTCTTCTAATTTCGCGATCGTCTGTTTCAGCTAAAATTAAATAGAATGGAGCAATAAAGGCGGACAAAAAAAAATGAAAAATCTTGATTCAGCACTAAGAAAAGAAAACATCACACTCGTTTAAGGCTTCTCTTCAAATTTGTCTCCGGTTCCTTTGAATCATCCTCTCCACATAGAAGAACAGGGCCATGATCAAATTCTTCATCCTCGTTTGCACTGGCTTCGTTGACGTCTTCTTCAGGTTGCATAACGTCCATTGCAAAGCGCACAGTTCTCGTCTTTTTTGGTCTAAATGGCCAGAAAAAACATAATAGGTATGTAATTAGAACAGTTCATGAAAGAATCAATTAACGAAACCCACTGTTTCCCTTCAATACCGATTCCTGGTCCTCTATTATTGTACTTTTGATGTCCTCTATACTCAGTCGCCATCGCACTTTCTTTCTCACCGAAAAAGTCCTCGTAGAAGTAATTGGTTTCACCTGTCCACGAGTCCTAATAAAACACTCTTTTTGCAGATTAAATGTTTGCTAGGTGACGTACTTTGTACCCCAAATTTCTAGTTGTGGGACAAATAAGGAACTAGAGTAATAAGCAAGTCAAATTGCTAGAAAACAATAGAAGCACAAGAACCTCCTAATTAGAAACAAGATTACTTAAAGACTAGAAAACACTACTACAAGTAATAATTACCGAGACCATAATCTTAATTTAATAATGCACCTAGAAAAAGAAAAATACTTCAAATAAACATGACTAAATCACAGAAAAGTAGTTCTATCGTCCCGAAGAAGAAATATGACCTTATTAGGCGTGTAGACAGAATCGTCAATTAGACTTACATCGACTGTATCCAGCATATCTTCACCGTTCTGACCAATGCGATCCTGTTCATCCAGAAAAGCGTTCATTTCCGCAAGACTGTAAAAAGACTAATTAAAACTTTTTCATGCAGTAACCAAATAAAGGATACTCGATACCTGAAAAAATCGTCATCCACTGCTGATTTTGGATATTTCTTAGACGGTTTAACATTTCCGTCTGATTCATGCTCTTGATGGTGCATATCGTCCAATTCGCGTTCCAAATCTTTTAAGTTTTCATCACTAAATTAGATTGAGCTCAGAAGAACATAAAACAATAAAATTAGGAGAAACTAAACTTTTTGAGGCACAAAGAACTCACTTCAAATGTAGAATGTCAGCTTCATGGTCTTCTACATCACTACGGTCTTCATTATTAAGATCGCCTCTCGTATCAACATCGGAATCCTCTTCAGAGCTCAATACTGGTCCATCTTGCAGAACAAAGTCGTTCTCAAGAAAAGGCTGCAAGACAGCGAAATAAAACAACAAAGGAAGAAAGTAAGAATCAATGTCTCAGTAAAACTTAAGACAGTTATTCTCCAGCACTTAAGTATATGTGACTTTAACAGAGTAACACATTTCACTTTATCTCACATTCTGAACAGTTCTGGAGTACATTCCGAAGAGTTCCCGAGAAAATTGGAAACTTATTTCTTTGACAAGATTAGTCTTAACTGTACTAATCATGCAGTAAAAACTAAGCTTAATCACCAAAGAAAATATTATTGATGTAGTGAGAGTCGAAGCGCCATTAGTTTATGTTTCTTAGATTGTATTTTCCAAATTGTGCTTTTCACATTAGAAAACGATTCGATTAACAGCGATTAGGTGTAGAGGAATGACTTCATAGAGCTAACAAAGACGGCTGCTTCTGGATTAAAGAAAAAGCAAAGGCGACCCTAGTTACGTTCTAACAAATCAATCGAATAGACACGACAAAAAACCAGATGCACTTTGTTTACAGAAGGATGTTGTAGTAACAGAGAAAGAAATGAATAGACATGAAAAAAGCAAGTCAGCATAGACAACCACTAAAATTACAATTAGAACCATATGTAAAACTAACCAATCTCCTACGGAACTCCTTAGTAATCTGTTTGCTCCGGTATGAGATGAACTGCCAAACTGTTTCCACATCATTAGTGATGAACTTCGATGGCAAGTCGTCCGCGCGCGTCTCCAATCCCAAAGAAAAGTGATAAAACGCAGTAAGAGCACTATCACAATCCCTTCTGAAGAACTTCGGTCTGTAAGAAACATTGACATTGATAATAGCACTAGCAGCAAAAATAACACTAATAAGTGATCAATTTTAAAAAAGTAAAAAATAGCAGTTATAAATGATCTCAGAAATTCGTATACACACCGTTTGAACAGCTGTTTGAAGCTTTCTAGTTGACTATATATTTGATCACTATGACCGCTGGCTTCAATAACATCGCCTCCATCTGCCAGCTGAGCAGTCTAAAATCCGAAAATAATCTGCTAAAATCGGTGTCTTAAATGTAAAGAAACCAAATCTATAACATTTAGCATCAACAAAGAGACAAGGAGACAAATTGCAACGGACAGATGGAGGCCACGTTGGTATTGGCACACAACCAAGTTCAAAACAACAAAATATCAGGACGATGAAGAATTTTTTTTACATCACCCATCCTCGCACCTACTGTGCGGATCCCTGCATCTCTTGCATCCCATTTGTTCACTCGCATTCACCATCAACGAATGTTTTTGAACTTACTGCGTGTGGATTTGGCTAATATTCGAAGATTTTCATCATCGATACGAAGTTCGCTGAATGCTGGTCGAGTCGATTCTCCACTGAATACTTGCCTATACATGCTAGAGTGCTTCCAAGTTTAAAAGAGGGAGTAGGACCCCGCACAGCTCTACTAGCAGTTTGTCAACTCCGGAGTTACGATAGGCTTGCTGAACCCGAGGTGGAGTCGAAACAGCACGCACTAGTGATCAACGGCATCATTATCACTGCACTACCCGCACCTTTTAATGAAATTAGTGGTACACAACAACTACGACAACTAGTAGACACTCAGTTAACGTAAATTTCACGTAATTTGAACAATTCAGTGGAGAGATGGGGAAAAAAGGGAGAAAAGGAAAAAAGTAATTCAGTGTATGCAACAAATCTTTGCCGAAGTCGTTTTTCATAAAAAAAAAAGGAGGAAAGAAAAGAAAAGAAATTAAAATGATCAGTTCCCATGTACATTTAGTATCACTTATTTGTTCAGCATTCTACATTCGTACATTCCCTGTCCTCTAACACAGACTAAGAGAATTCATAAAACGTTTTAGATCTGTTTCGTAGACTGATAAACACAGGTGTAGAAGAGTATTCCCAAGAAAAAGGTGCGAAATATCTGACACTTTTCCATGGCTCAAAAAACTTGTGTTGTCCCAGAGTTTTAAATAGAAGAAAGCAATAAAATCTACCCTGAATATATGACAATGTTTGTTTTTTTAAATTAGGAAATGAATACATTAGAGAAAAATATGTGGACATGTACGGTTGCAAAGATGTACCATCCAAAACGCTAAGCTCCAAACCACTGCCATATCCGATGTGCGGGTTGAGGCCTCATACCAGTACCTACACTAGTCATAAGGCATGGGAGATAACTGCATTCACCACGAAGAAAAAGCCGCCAAGAATTCGCTGTTTTTCCGAACATCGACTTCAACTTGTCTAATCGAAGACCTCGTCTATCACAATGTCCACTTGTACTAAGTGACGGAATACCATGGACACTGATCCGTTATCATGCAATCGATGCCATCGGTGCAAGTGAACTGACAACACTTGTTCACCTACAACACTAGAAACCTCCAGCCGCAATATCGGTATCCATTAGAAGTACCATTGTATATAACACCTAGGCTCACTTATAGTAGCCCACAGATAGAAATGAATTCACACGAAAATCGAAAAGATAGATGAACTACTTAACGAATTAATTACTTAACTCCGAAGATCTCAAGTGAAAAACTGCGCTTTTTTCAGCAATGAGATGCCAAGTCCTAATAACCGTATGTTTTTGTTCTCATGCAAAATTAAGCCATAAAAAAGCAGTAATATTCACAGGAATTTTACTCGCGATCAAGGAAAGCTTTCATTAGATGAAGTAAAAAGCATCGTGTGTACGAGGTCACAAATGTAATCACCATTTTTTTTTCCTCCTGGCTCAATAAATTGGTATCAATCTCGTCCTTAAGCGAGATAATATTGATTGATAAGATATTCTGGGTCATCTTTGAACTCCTGGAACTGATACTGATGACCTCAGTAGAATTATAAGTGGGAACCAGTAAATTTCACCAACAATTATTCTCAAAAGAAAAATTCATCTTCATTTCCAAGTGACTGTTAAGCGTGACCCATGTATTCACAACATGTGGTAGTTCTAATATGTAAAACCGTTCAATCTAGATACATACATATATCTATTAAATAGAAGAAAAAGAGGTAAAACTGTCAATAAAAACAGTCTTTGGACCGTACGCAATTTGTTCCCAGGACCAATTTTGTATTAACCTTGGCGCTGACCAACAAATATGCGTCCCTACTGCCATAGAGAAGCCACCGTTCTAAGAAAGATACGTTCCAAAGATGAACCATCGCTAGCAGTTCTTTGTTGTCGACCTTAAGCTCGCGCAATACTTCGGACAAATTTTTAACCTAAGAGAGGCACATTCCTCATCCAAGTAGGATCTGTGCGGCTGTCTAAAAGAGGTTATTTCCTATTCAACTGGTGCGATTGATATCTGTTTTGAGGTCATTCTATTGAGATTATGGAAGTATTCCACTGGGCAAATTGCCCATCGATCTCACCATTCTAGGCTAAAGAAGGCGTCGAAAGATAAGCCACTGTGAAACAAATATTTTGCGAACAACCTCTGTCTGTCCATAAAGAGAAAAGCAACTTAACAGCTTTCGCATTTTACTACAATGAAAGCTTAATTTCCCGAAGCACAAACCATTCTTTCCTTATCGAGATTTCTCGAAAAACTGGAAGAAAAACCTTCCGAAAATTATACACATGTTACACCGACCCAGTGTGTTCTAGTTGAGAACCAGAGCTGTCCGTTGCCTCAAGTAGCTTGAACGACCATGAGGAATTCACTTTTTATATGACATCCTCCACTTTTTATCTTATAGGAGGAAAAGCACCAAAGCATACTGTTCAGGTCAGACCAGTTTCATTTGAGGGAAGTGAACCCGAACCAAATACCGTATACCTCACAATTATATGATTGTAAACTTTGGGCGAATCCAATACAGAATACACGTAGGTGTATCAAACCCACTCATCGGGTTAAAACTGCCTACCCAAATTGGTAATCCAAACGGTTTAGCGCCTCATCATAAATGTTCCTGGACACGAAAATGACTATAGGGGGCGGTGATTCATCTTCCCAATCTTGTCAACCACTTTCAAAAAGAAATCCATCACTTTTAATCGTATGCTCGCTTAAGAGTAAAACTGTCTTACGACAGAATAAGACTAGCTACATTGACGCCAAAAATAGTAATAATGAGGACCTCATAACGAAACTGTGATGCTCTTCAAATTCTTCCAGCGAATAGTACGCAAT